AGATATCTCACTATTTTTGACTTTTCTGAGCCTGTCAAGTCCTTCTTTTGACCCATTTTGCCAAAGGAAAGGAAGTTGCCTAATAATTATGCACACCTGATATAGGGTGTTGATGTCATTAGACCACACCCCTTCTCATTACAGAGATGCACATCACCTAATATGCTTAATTGGTAGTAGGCTTTCAAGCCTATACAGCTTGGAGTAAGACAACATGCATAAAGAGGATGATGTGGTCAAAATACTCATTTGCCTAATAATTCTGCACTCCCTGTAGTGCCGAAAGTTGCCTACCCTGGTTTAGGACAAGATATTATTTTGGCTATAAATTGTTACACACGGCACACTTGCTGGGCACAATTCGAAACAATTCTCACTTCCTACAACTGAGCTTTATGAGATTGTTTTGGGCTTCACCCAACGTTTCTGCACTGCTTCTGTGATCCAAGAGTTTTGCTACAAACTATAGATCAGGTTGAAGCCGTTTAAAAAGTACTTAAGTAGCTTCAGAAAAAGTGTTAACCTGCCTGTTCTAATATACACAATTCAGCCTTAACATTAAAACCACTGACAGGTGAAGTGAATAACATTTATATTGTTACAATAGCACCTGTCAAGGCGTGGGATATATTGGGCAGCAAGTGAACAGTCAGTTCTTGAGTTTCATGTGTTGGTAATAGGAAAAATGGGCAAGCGAGAAGATCTGAGTTACTCTTGGTAAGGGCCAAATCGTGATGATTAGATGTCTGGGTCAGAGCATCTCCAAAGCAGCAAATCTTGTGGGGTGTTTCCAGTGGTGCAAGGAAGGGCAGCCGGTGAACCGGCATCAATCTCATGGGCTCCCAAGGCTCATTGATGCATGTGGGGAGTGACAGGGTAGCCAGTCTGGTCTGATCACACAGAACTGTAGCTCAAATTGCTGAAAAACTTCATGCTGGCCATGATAGAAAGGTGTCAGAATATACAATGCATCCTAGCGTGCTGCGTATTGGTCTGTGTAGTCGCAGACCGGTCAAGTGTCCATAAAGACCATTGAAAATGGCTTTTTAATGGGGACTTGCGCATCAGAACTGGACCATGGAGCAATGGAAGAAGGTTGCCTGGTTTGATGAATCATGGTTTCTTTTAGGGCGGGTGTGTGTGCGTAGTTTACTTGGGGAAGAAATGGCAGCAGGATGTACTATGGGAAGAGAGTGGGACAGCGGAGGCAGTGGTTTACTGGGAAACCTTGGCTTCTGGCATTCATGTAGAAGTTACTTTGACATGTACCACCTACCTAGAGATTGTTGCAGACAAAATACATCCCTTAATAGCAATGGCATACCCTGTTTGCAGTGGCTTTTTTCCGCAGGATAATGTTAATGCCAAACTGCAAAAATAGTTCAGGGATGGTTTAGTGAACGTGACTATGAGCTTAAGATGTTGCCTTGAGACTGAGACACAAATACATTTTTGACTGATGGAGAAGCAAGCTTGTTTCCTTTATAATTCTTATTCTCTACACAATAACATAATATATATATCTCTCTATATAATATATTTATCTACCTTCCCAGAAACTGCCTTGCACAAAAATGGTGAGCCTTCTGTATTTTTTTTTTTTTTTAAAGCAACACTTTTGAGCTGCTTGAAAGCGAATGAAAAGCATTATGACGGCTTGTCACACCCAGTTTACTATAAGTGCTGTAATAAAAGTTTTATATCCCTGCAATCTCTTCATGGGAATGTAGCAGAATTAAAGGGACACTATACTCATCAGAACCACTACAGCTTAATGTAATAGTTCTGTAAAAGATAGTGTTTTACATTTCTGCCTAGTAACACCGCTAGTGGCAATCACTCAGACAGTTCAAAGTCTCCATGAACGCTTCAATGCAGCTCTATGAGGAGCTGTTGATTTGTGTGTGGTGTTTTGCTGGACATGTGCAATGGCCTCCCCGTGCACTCCTATGGGAAAGCTTTGGATTGGCTGAGCTCTTCAAGATTGATGATCCCAGCCATGGTGGCAGGGCCAGCCATAGCGAGACTAGTGCGGTGTGGGAGAAAAGGTGATTGGAAGGAGTGGGGGGTTGGTAACCTAAACATCTATTTCATGACTATAGTGTCAGGAGTACATGTTTATATTCTATCTTTCCTTTAACCCCTTAAGGACGGCATGCGTGCTATGCCGTCCTTAGGGAACCGGCTTGAAACTCCGGGGGGCAGCATAGCACGTCCCCGCCGTCCTTTCTACTTACCCGTTGGCCAGCGACCGCGGTATGGGGACTTACCTGGGAGCCCAGGGAGTCCCCCTCCTTCCCCTTCGGCCGTCCATGTCAATGCCAGCAGGGGGAATGCCTGTAATGACAAGTACTCCCCCTGCTGCCTGAAAAATAAATAAAGGTTTAAAAACGTGTAAAATTAAATTTCTAAGCATATTGTAATATTTTTTTTTTTATATATATATATATATATATATATATATATATATATATCTCAAAGTACACATACAATGATATTGCTTAAATATATATAATTATCGGCCGTCCCTTATCGGCCGCATCACGGAACCACGCCCTCCCCCCATTTACGTCACGACGTCACGTGATGCGGCCGATAAGGGACGGCATTGGATATACATCAGACCAATGAGGAACTGGCAATTACGGCAGGATACCACACACAGCATCTCACAATTTTAATTGATTGCAACTAAAGGTATTTAAATGGATACAGGGAACTCCAAAAGTTTATTGCTCCTGACGACGGTGTGCTGAAACGCCGAAACGCGCGTCAAGCTTACTTTATTTAATTTAATTTTCTTTTTGTTCACCCTTTTTTTGGTAGCACTTATGGATTTAGTTGTTTAAATCTTTGTAATTCTTAGGACCTATAGGGATTAGGTATCCGGGTAGACACTTGTGGCAACACAGTGCCGAGATAACTAGAGCAAGCTCTCTATAGATAGGAGTCTGTCTTTGGGAAATTTGGGGTAGTTTTTTACTTCTCCTATAGGGGTTTTTTTTTTTCACCTCTATATACAGGCTTAGTGTTCTAGCTATTACTATACACCTGGATTGGTTACCTATGAGACTTAGGACGCATGATGCTCAACCTTTTGGTTTAGAATTTGCCAGGCAGTCTTTCTTTCTTATAGTAGACACCTGTTTTCTGTAATTGTCTCTGGCTGGTTTACCATTTAAACTCCTTTCTCCCATCTGTCCTTTTTTAATTGTGTTCTCCTTTAGGATTATTAAAGGTAGGGACCCCCTTCCCCTCATTCATTACTCTCCCACTGAGGACTTATTTTAGTCCCCTCTCTCTTTCTCCTTTTTATATATAATTATCATTATATAATATAAAATAAATATGTAAAAAATAAAATTAAAATAATAATGATAAATTAATAAAAAATATATATGTGTAATTTCCTTCTAACTGTACTTTAAAATGAATATATATATTGATATCAAAATACACGTAGAATGAAATAATATATATCTATATACATAAGTATATACGTATATATCTATATATATATATAAATAAAAATAATTTTAAAAAATTATATACATATATAGATATAATAATTCTACATATATATTTATGTAATAATTTTACATAATTAGGTCATTTTATTAATTACAATTTGCGGGGCCTGCCTGACAACCCATGCCGAAAGTCCAGGAAATTTAATTTGCTAGCACTGTATTTAACCCTGTAACATTCCAAGACACCATAAAACCTGTACATGGGGGGTACTGTTTTACTCGGAAGACTTCGCTGAACACAAATATTAGTGTTTCAAAACAGTAAAATGTATTACAACGATAATATCGTCAGTAAAAGTGAATTTTTTTGCATTTTTCACACACAAATGGCATTTGCACGGACGATATAATTGTTGTGATACGTTTTACTGTTTTGAAACACTAATATTTGTGTTCACCGAAGTCTCCCAAGTACAACAGTACCCCTCACATACAGGTTTTATGGTGTTTTCAAAAGTTACAGAGTCAAATATAAGGCTTGCGTTTCAGTTTTTTCACATTGAAATTCGCCAGAATCCCTTTGAGACCGTACGGTAGCCCAGGAATGAGAATTACCCCCATGATAGCATACCATTTGCAAAAGTAGACAACACAAGGTATTGCAAATAGGGTATGTCCAGTCTTTTTTAGTAGCCACTTAGTCACAAACACTGGCCAAAATTGGCGTTCAAATTAGTTTTTTGCATTTTTCACACACAAACAAATATTAACACTAACTTTGGCCAGAAAAGAAAAAAAGAGAGAGGTTGGGGATTCCCGTGTTACTTTATATTACCACGAACACGAGGAACACTAAAATATTGTGTTAAAACTATCAATTAAAACATCACTTTTAATATTTTAACTCTAAAAAGTCCCTTAACCCTAAGGGCACTACACACAATTACACAAAAAAAAATTACATACAACTACACACATAATGGTGCTAACCACCATAAGTAGATGACTTAGTGATTTCACTAGAGCGAGGTTAAATGATAAAATGCCCGCTACAGACTTTCTTAGTCCTTATAATGAAATCATGAAATGTCATAAATAAATTTACCTACAATGTCTTGCTTTAGTAAGCTAATTGCAGGGTGTGCAAAATGAAATCCTGTATTCTCCTAAGTGGATTTCTATAAATGGTCTTATTTATTAGTAACCCATTTAGTGTAAAAAAAAAAAAAAGGATAGATGAGTCTACGTCCGATCTCCAATGATATTTCCTGATCTCTCAACCACAATAGGAAATAAAAAATATTACGAATATCTCCTATAACTTAGGATTTGCTAATCAGGTAAAGTATATCTGGATATTGATATATCCGTTATTGAAAGTAGCTAGCCTCATGTAACAATGTTTCTTGTTGTTGTTACTGTGATAGACTTCTCTCGTTACAAAAAAATAGAGAAATGTAACCAATTTACTGTTAGTGTTGTCCCTATCTAATCAAATGCCCAACTCCACCGAAAGGCATAAGAGCACACTAGTAAATTGTGCTGCTTTAAAATGGCACACAGGAACTGGCTACTAACCAATCTTGTTTAAAGTTCTATTTTTTGTTTTGTTTTTATCTGTTATATTCTCCAATAACACAACTCTTCCATGGAAAACTAGTGAAATAAACCCTTTCGGACATTTATTTACTTTTGGCTAGTGTCATAGAAACATGAAGCCTTTGCACATCAGTAAGTCTGTACAATTTTTTTTTTTTTTTTTTTTTTAAACAGTTGACGATCACAGGCCTGTCTCTAAAAGGATTCAGGTTGCTTTAAGCTGCAAAAGAGGAATGAGCGGTCTTCCTCAAAAATGCTTACCTTTTGTAAAGAGGCTATCTTTAACTTTCATAATGTTTTACGCCATTAAATCCACTCCTTTGGGGAAAGTGGATTCAATGTTTCTGAAAAAATGCACAACCCCTCCCCGCTCCCCCAGAAATGATAGATCCTATTTAAATTTAGCATAACACTGCTCTTTAAGGAATTATGCAAAGTAAAGAGTGAGTGTTTTTGGCACTCACATAATACAAACAACAAACTTTACAACGTATCCTGAACCATTGTTGTTTAGGAGCTGTTTTGTCTGTTGCCAGATGTTTGTTGGTTCATTAAGAAATTGTCTATTTGTGTTAGACATTATTTCGTTATTTTTTATTGATTTAAGTCAGGATATATGAATAAACCAAAATTACTTCACCATTGAATCTTTTCTTTATTTAACTTATTTTTTGGTGTGTCTCTTGTTAATGTATTATTGAAAGATGATGACTTGCAGTCCCTAAAATACTGCCTTTAGTGGTGAATATAAGAAGGTAACTCTGCTTTGCAAAGGTATTAAGGAAAATTAATCAGAGGCCATCATTTTTCCACCCATTGCATCTGGTCATTTTAGTTAAGGATGACATTACTTTTTTTTTATCCACTAGAGGGCAGCATAACATATCTTTAAAGAACTAGAGACTATATGTAATAAATTACTGTCTACCTCCTGCCATACACAGGATTTAATGTTAAAGCCCCTGGCATAATTCAGGTAGTATAGTAATGATTTTTCAGGCAAAGAAGGAGCAAGTAAACTACAACATAGGTATAATATTGTATATACTATGTGACTGTATGTGGACAATGAATATGTTTTGCCTAGGTATGTCAGAGTAATGTGTGAAGTAAGTTATTCCTGGTGTGTCAGATTTAATAAATTTGGTTTATGGAGCTTCTAGAGAAGGTTCTCACAGCTATTTTCCAGGGGAAGCGGCTAGTAGAGATTTGAAAGGACTAGTGAAAGGTTAGTACGAATCAATAAAACCAGTATGGACCAGGTATGTTATTGGGTTAAAGCAGTTTATTACTTTGCGTCTTAGAGGTGAGGATAATACTATTAATATGGCATTAAGCGTTTGTGGCAAAAAGCATGCCCGTAAAAAAAAAAAAGCATGCCCGTTAGTTTTTACATGCACGCTGATGTGACACCAGCTCTACCTGAAATTTAGCCTAACTTCCCAGTGTTTCATGTAATATCTCAGAAAATGAAGTGCAAAAAAACCTATTATAGAAGTGTTTATGCATGACACTCATGTCAAATTTGAATATATTTGGTCATTATGTCAAACTAGCACTTTTTGAAGGATTGTGTAATGTGGTGCCAAGAGCATATTTTCTGAGGAGTGACAAGGCTACACCGTGCAGGGCACTGGGAAGGACCATGTGGCTTAACTTTATGCCATGCCAGACTTGATGTGAGTTTTCTGGCAAGTTAAGGAGTCACAAAGAAGGCTGCATAGTGTATGGTGGAGCTTGAAATCCTTTGGCATACCAGATGTGGGCTACATCTTTCATAATGTGCTTTACAGTCTTAATGCTTCCAATTCGTCAGGGGAGATGTCTACACCACTTGTACAGGGAGTGCAGAATTATTAGGCAAGTTGTATTTTTGCGGATTAATTTTATTATTGAACAACAACCATGTTCTCAATGAACCCAAAAAACTCATTAATATCAAAGCTGAATATTTTTGGAAGTAGTTTTTAGTTTGTTTTTAGTTATAGCTATGTTAGGGGGATATCTGTGTGTGCAGGTGACTATTACTGTGCATAATTATTAGGCAACTTAACAAAAAACAAATATATACCCATTTCAATTATTTATTATTACCAGTGAAACCAATATAACATCTCAACATTCACAAATATACATTTCTGACATTCAAAAACAAAACAAAACAAATCAGTGACCAATATAGCCACCTTTCTTTGCAAGGACACTCAAAAGCCTGCCATCCATGGATTCTGTCAGTGTTTTGATCTGTTCACCATCAACATTGCGTGCAGCAGCAACCACAGCCTCCCAGACACTGTTCAGAGAGGTGTACTGTTTTCCCTCCTTGTAAATCTCACATTTGATGATGGACCACAGGTTCTCAATGGGGTTCAGATCAGGTGAACAAGGAGGCCATGTCATTAGATTTTCTTCTTTTATACCCTTTCTTGCCAGCCACGCTGTGGAGTACTTGGACGCGTGTGATGGAGCATTGTCCTGCATGAAAATCATGTTTTTCTTGAAGGATGCAGACTTCTTCCTGTACCACTGCTTGAAGAAGGTGTCTTCCAGGAACTGGCAGTAGGACTGGGAGTTGAGCTTGACTCCATCCTCAACCCGAAAAGGCCCCACAAGCTCATCTTTGATGATACCAGCCCAAACCAGTACTCCACCTCCACCTTGCTGGCGTCTGAGTCGGACTGGAGCTCTCTGCCCTTTACCAATCCAGCCACGGGCCCATCCATCTGGCCCATCAAGACTCACTCTCATTTCATCAGTCCATAAAACCTTAGAAAAATCAGTCTTGAGATATTTCTTGGCCCAGTCTTGACATTTCAGCTTGTGTGTCTTGTTCAGTGGTGGTCGTCTTTCAGCCTTTCTTACCTTGGCCATGTCTCTGAGTATTGCACACCTTGTGCTTTTGGGCACTCCAGTGATGTTGCAGCTCTGAAATATGGCCAAACTGGTGGCAAGTGGCATCGTGGCAGCTGGACGCTTGACTTTTCTCAGTTCATGGGCAGTTATTTTGCGCATTGGTTTTTCCACACGCTTCTTGCGACCCAGAAGATCTGAGTTACTCTTGGTAAGGGCCAAATCGTGATGATTAGATGTCTGGGTCAGAGCATCTCCAAAGCAGCAAATCTTGTGGGGTGTTTCCAGTGGTGCAAGGAAGGGCAGCCGGTGAACCGGCATCAATCTCATGGGCTCCCAAGGCTCATTGATGCATGTGGGGAGTGACAGGGTAGCCAGTCTGGTCTGATCACACAGAACTGTAGCTCAAATTGCTGAAAAACTTCATGCTGGCCATGATAGAAAGGTGTCAGAATATACAATGCATCCTAGCGTGCTGCGTATTGGTCTGTGTAGTCGCAGACCGGTCAAGTGTCCATAAAGACCATTGAAAATGGCTTTTTAATGGGGACTTGCGCATCAGAACTGGACCATGGAGCAATGGAAGAAGGTTGCCTGGTTTGATGAATCATGGTTTCTTTTAGGGCGGGTGTGTGTGCGTAGTTTACTTGGGGAAGAAATGGCAGCAGGATGTACTATGGGAAGAGAGTGGGACAGCGGAGGCAGTGGTTTACTGGGAAACCTTGGCTTCTGGCATTCATGTAGAAGTTACTTTGACATGTACCACCTACCTAGAGATTGTTGCAGACAAAATACATCCCTTAATAGCAATGGCATACCCTGTTTGCAGTGGCTTTTTTCCGCAGGATAATGTTAATGCCAAACTGCAAAAATAGTTCAGGGATGGTTTAGTGAACGTGACTATGAGCTTAAGATGTTGCCTTGAGACTGAGACACAAATACATTTTTGACTGATGGAGAAGCAAGCTTGTTTCCTTTATAATTCTTATTCTCTACACAATAACATAATATATATATCTCTCTATATAATATATTTATCTACCTTCCCAGAAACTGCCTTGCACAAAAATGGTGAGCCTTCTGTATTTTTTTTTTTTTTTAAAGCAACACTTTTGAGCTGCTTGAAAGCGAATGAAAAGCATTATGACGGCTTGTCACACCCAGTTTACTATAAGTGCTGTAATAAAAGTTTTATATCCCTGCAATCTCTTCATGGGAATGTAGCAGAATTAAAGGGACACTATACTCATCAGAACCACTACAGCTTAATGTAATAGTTCTGTAAAAGATAGTGTTTTACATTTCTGCCTAGTAACACCGCTAGTGGCAATCACTCAGACAGTTCAAAGTCTCCATGAACGCTTCAATGCAGCTCTATGAGGAGCTGTTGATTTGTGTGTGGTGTTTTGCTGGACATGTGCAATGGCCTCCCCGTGCACTCCTATGGGAAAGCTTTGGATTGGCTGAGCTCTTCAAGATTGATGATCCCAGCCATGGTGGCAGGGCCAGCCATAGCGAGACTAGTGCGGTGTGGGAGAAAAGGTGATTGGAAGGAGTGGGGGGTTGGTAACCTAAACATCTATTTCATGACTATAGTGTCAGGAGTACATGTTTATATTCTATCTTTCCTTTAACCCCTTAAGGACGGCATGCGTGCTATGCCGTCCTTAGGGAACCGGCTTGAAACTCCGGGGGGCAGCATAGCACGTCCCCGCCGTCCTTTCTACTTACCCGTTGGCCAGCGACCGCGGTATGGGGACTTACCTGGGAGCCCAGGGAGTCCCCCTCCTTCCCCTTCGGCCGTCCATGTCAATGCCAGCAGGGGGAATGCCTGTAATGACAAGTACTCCCCCTGCTGCCTGAAAAATAAATAAAGGTTTAAAAACGTGTAAAATTAAATTTCTAAGCATATTGTAATATTTTTTTTTTTATATATATATATATATATATATATATATATATATATATCTCAAAGTACACATACAATGATATTGCTTAAATATATATAATTATCGGCCGTCCCTTATCGGCCGCATCACGGAACCACGCCCTCCCCCCATTTACGTCACGACGTCACGTGATGCGGCCGATAAGGGACGGCATTGGATATACATCAGACCAATGAGGAACTGGCAATTACGGCAGGATACCACACACAGCATCTCACAATTTTAATTGATTGCAACTAAAGGTATTTAAATGGATACAGGGAACTCCAAAAGTTTATTGCTCCTGACGACGGTGTGCTGAAACGCCGAAACGCGCGTCAAGCTTACTTTATTTAATTTAATTTTCTTTTTGTTCACCCTTTTTTTGGTAGCACTTATGGATTTAGTTGTTTAAATCTTTGTAATTCTTAGGACCTATAGGGATTAGGTATCCGGGTAGACACTTGTGGCAACACAGTGCCGAGATAACTAGAGCAAGCTCTCTATAGATAGGAGTCTGTCTTTGGGAAATTTGGGGTAGTTTTTTACTTCTCCTATAGGGGTTTTTTTTTTTCACCTCTATATACAGGCTTAGTGTTCTAGCTATTACTATACACCTGGATTGGTTACCTATGAGACTTAGGACGCATGATGCTCAACCTTTTGGTTTAGAATTTGCCAGGCAGTCTTTCTTTCTTATAGTAGACACCTGTTTTCTGTAATTGTCTCTGGCTGGTTTACCATTTAAACTCCTTTCTCCCATCTGTCCTTTTTTAATTGTGTTCTCCTTTAGGATTATTAAAGGTAGGGACCCCCTTCCCCTCATTCATTACTCTCCCACTGAGGACTTATTTTAGTCCCC